TCTATATGTGCTTTATAGCTGGTCCTATCCCAATTACAATATGTGCTTTCTAAGAATAAGGGTCATAGATAACTCTTCAATATTCTTTCTATTGCTCAATAGTGTCCCAGGGTCTTGATAAATGCTCAATAAATATTGGCTAAATCAATTAAGGAATTAATCGTATCCACGCTTACAGCCAACTAGCTCTACAGAATGTGTTCTTTTTTTTTTTTTTAAAGGTTTTTATTTATTTCTAGGAGACAGAGAGAGAGAGACAGCGTGAGCAGGGGAGGGTCAGAGAGAGAGGGAGTCACAGACTGAAACAGGCTCCAGGCTCTGAGCTGGCAGTCAGCACAGAGCCCGACGCGGGGCCCGAACCCACGAACCGTGAGATCATGACCTAAGCGAAAGTCGGACGCTTAACTGACTAAGCCACCCAGGCGCCCCTACAGAATGTGTTCTATGGAGAGAAGGAATGATGTCACTAGGTCATGCAGATTGATTGAAATGTGACGCCGTCTGTCAAAATGAGAAGCAAATCTACTTAATGAGGAAGAGAAGGATCAGTAGAAACAACCCGTTTATACACGGATAACTAGACAATAAGCCTGCAGCAACAGGTGCTCAGGGACCGGAGAAGGTGACCCTGGGGATATGGATTTGACATTGCACTCCTTGTTTTCGGATACCTAAGGGACAGAAAATGGACATACTTTTATTACTTTTGCTATGATCAAATCCTTGGTATGATGTAGCACCATCAAAACAGGTGTCATACCCACATCCAAACTGGTAGGCTATTCAGGAACATGGCGGTAGTTGAGAGGCAACACAGGGTGACCTTCGTCTCTTAGTCCCATGAGTATTGAGTCGCACATTGTATTGTATCCTCGGCCATCCACCGTCGTGTCCCCCACCATCAGTTCTTCATGAGTCTGAGCAAAGAAAAGGTTTGTGAGACAATTCTGAGAGATTGCAGCTTCAAGTTAGCTTTCTGGGGAGAGAATCCAGCCCATACAAGGTGCCGGGGCGGCCTGTGGGTGCTGTGATGAGTGTGGGGCGGGCACTAGCGGACCCTCCACACACTGGCTCCAGCCCTGCGGGGCTTTCCTCTGCCACCTGGGCCCATGTTTGCTAGAAACACTACTCGAGCGTGGTATCTCTTAGTCTCTTAGGAAGAAGAGGCAAGTTCCTCTTGAAGCGATGATGGTGAAGGTGTCCAGCCTCCCATCTGGGGGTGGCTCTGTGGGTACACACATCTGGAAAAGTCCATCAAGCCATATGCTTACAATTTGTTATTTTTATCCTATGTCAGTGACAGCCCAAAGGTGTTTGCAGATGACTCTGGGTGAAGGCTAGCGCATGCTTTCCATGGCACATGTGTGACAGGGTTTCTGACGTACCCTGACCCAACTTCAAGCCGCATCACTCTGCAAAGTACGTGCTACCTTGTGCTGACACATAAGGTAATTATTTCTTTGAGTTAATTATGTACGTACACTTGAGTTAGTAGTTTATCAGTAACGTTCTTTGCCCATCTATTATTTATGTACTAATCTTATTAACTTTACTTATTCATTATTTTATTCACCGTACGAGCATGTCCTGTGCCCCAGATACTGCAGCAATTGCTGCAGACGCAAGAATGGCTCAGACCTGGTTCTGCCATTGAAACTCGCTCTGTATTCATGGAGTCAGACACACATGCCGTCACACACACTGCTGTGAGTGCCGCGTCTGCGGGACGGGCGTCGTTACCGGGAGAACACTGGCCAACGGCAGCAGAGGCAGTGATATTTGAGTGAGGAAAGGAGATACAGAATTCTAATGACAAATGTAGAAGTCAGGCAGCAGGTGAAAAAGACAAAGGGAAGATCATGTGACACACACACATATGCACAAGCTCGCATGAGTGTGTACATGCAGACACGCTTGGGCATACAGTCACACGCATGCACCTGCACACACAACAGCATGCACCTACGCACACCCCCCTCCACTGGCAGTGAACCTTCTCCTCCCGGTTCTTGAGGACCTGGGGTCCCTCGCTTGCCCCATCGGTCAGAACCTTGCTGTGCTGAGTGGTAAGAGACAGAGAGAATGATGGAGGCAGCAGACTGAGCTGTTTCACAGGGACGGACGCGGGGGGAGTGGGATGCGGGCAGGCAGCGACTTACAGGTGGTTCAGGTGCTCGGAGGAGACAGGGTCAAGGGCAGGGAAGCTGCCTGTGGGTCCTGCGCTCCGATCCGCCCTTCTTCACGCTCCCTGGGGAAAGAGGTGGCCGAGGTTTCCTGCCTCTCAGACTCGCCCGCTTTCTTCTGCTTCCAACAAATCCCAAGGCCAGAGTAGAGGCTCGGGTTCATTCCGGTTACAGTAATAGGAGGTGCTTTTCCACCCAGTGTTTCAGGGGCTGGGCCCTCTAAGGACGTGACCTCTAATGTGCCGAACAGGTCTGTGAGCTCAGTGTTTAAAGCTTGGTTTTGTGCAGGTGGAACGCAGGGCCCGGACACGGTCCTGAGCACGGCTGGTTGGGCCTGTGGTCCATGCTGCTGCTTCCTGTTCCAGACCTCACCCGCGGAGCCACGCGCACAAGTCACTGTCATGTCGCTCACATCCCAAGGAGTCACAAGCTCTGTGTGAGGACCCCGCTGGCATCCCCGAGCGCTGTGAGCCTCAGATCCACAGACCGCGCTTGTGCTGTTCCCGTCACGTTTCTACAGCTCGGCCCAAGCTGTCACACTTAGGCTGAATGTTAAATGTGCTTCTCACGTGAAGGTTGGGCCTCCCCGTCAGACAACGCCAGCGCCCAGTAGTTGGTGACGACCTGGGGGTTGAGCAGCTGGTCACCGTCTGCGGGAAGGGCATCTGAATGTGATTCAAGTGCAGGAGACACGCAGACCCCGCGCTTTACTTCGTCACCGTGGGACTTGAGGCGGGTGACCCGCTCAGGGGCGAGGCCCAACCACCGGCCTCCCACGCGACTCCCGGGGCCTCGGGGTGGAGAGAGGCCTGCAGGTGGGGCCGGAGCTGCTCCCAGAGCAGACGCCGGGGCCCGGGCCGCCCTCCGAGCCGGGGCTCCTCCACCCACCCAGCCGTCTGTGCTTTCAGGTCAGCGCGTGGCTGGAGCCCTCACATAAACTGGGAAGTGGCCTCGCCGTGGAAGGAGTGCAGCTCGAGACCACATCAAAGCGAGTGAGCCGGCGATCGGTGCTGCCGGCGCGTCCTGGGCACAGACTCACGGGCCCAAGGCTCAGGCTTCCCGCCCGTCTGTCCCCCCGCGAGGCCACGCAGCTCCTCCGCAGGTCCCGGCCTCGCACAGCGCTGGCTCCTGGCTCATCAGCCAGACTGTCTTCCTGGAGATGAGATCCGCCTGCAGCCGTCCTCCCTGCCCCCGCCCCCCCTCCACGCCCCTCCTCACCCGGACAGGGTCCGCCACAGCCACCCGCGGATCCACGGTCCCCAAGCCGACACCCGTGGCTTGCCGGAGCACGGGGTGCAGGGTGCCCAGGAGGAGCATGGGGGCCTCTCCCTGCCAGGGGATGAAATCAGGGAGAAAGAAGGGGCGCCCGCGGTCTGCCTGTGTGCACACCTCCCCCCCAGGGTTCTGCTCCGGGTAAACGCAGCATGCGAGTCCCACAGCCAGCGCTCACAGAGGAGGTCTGAACCCTGGATGTGGTCGCCAAGAGCCCTTCCCGCTGGCGGCGGCCCCCATCGGGGCCAGGGGACGTCAGCTGGTGCCCTGCGGTTTGACTGTCTCTCCCCTTCGTGATTAGATCCTGTGCTCTGCTTCTCCTGTTTCGCCCTTCCGACAAAGGCTTACGTGTTTGTATTGCTGTTATGCGCTGCTGAGAAATTCCCTCAAGGGCCCGGATCATTCCGGGAAAAGAGGTTCCGTAAATGGTCTCGGGGGACTTCTGCCACCGAAGGTGCACAAAGGCTACTCCAGCGTGAGCGGCCACGGCCGTGGCCGATGAACCTCCGCCCAGGTGGGTCATAAAGGACAGAGACGGGACAGCAGCGAGAAGCAAGTCCCCGCAAGGGCCCAGGACGAGCTCGGTCTGTTACGGGGGGGGGGGGGGTGGCTCAGAAAACAGGAGACAGGGATGCGCGCTCCCACATGCCCTCTCCAAGGAGAGCCTCTGTGGGTGGCCTTCCCCTCCCTGGCCATCCCGCCAGCTCAGGGGCCCCGATCACCCCACACCCAAGGGGAGGACAGGAGGCTTTGTGCCTCCCGCCAAGTGCAGAGGAAGCCACGGGGCCCCACCGCAGTGCTGGCTCCCCCTTGAGAAGACTGCAGCCAGTCCTTCTTTCGTTTGTGGTCCTGTGTCTCCCTTTGTGGTGCGTAGATGCACACAGGTGTGAGGAAAGGGCGTCTCCCCAAACCAGAGGACGCCTGAGCCGCCCGTGGTGACGGGCCATGATGGGGACGGGGGCCGGAGGAGCCCGGCAGCCTGCTCCCCGCAGTCCCTTACCTCTCCCCCCTGCACATCGTGTGTGGTGCTTTATGGAGCTTACAGAGGACGGGAGGAGGTGAGGCCCCGGGCTGTGCGGCTCCCCGTGGGACCCGCCTCGCACTGGAACAGCAGCACCAATTCCAGCTCCGAAGGGGTGCGCGTCCCTGCGTGCTGTCCTCATCTGCCGAGACCGCCTGCCTGGAGAGGGGGGCGTGGACAGCACGTCCGAAGCAGGGGCTGCCCAGGCTGCCCTCCTGGTCCCCGGGGCGCCGCCTGAGTCCATGTGCGCACAGAGCGGGTCTGCACAGGCCGGAGGGGAGACGGCACAGGGCTGTCCGGAGCGCGGTCTGGACTCCGCAGCATTGCACCCCCCTGGGACTCTGCTTCAGGACTCAGACCGTCTCCCCTGTCACTTGTGAGAAATGCAGACCCAGAGTCAGAAACCGGGGGGGGGGGGAGCCGGCGCAGCCCCGTGGGACTCGACATGCCCGGGGAGTTATGGTGGGTGCTCCAGGTTGAGAAGCAGTGATGACCTTCCCAGAGGATGAGGGGGTCTTGCTCGCAGCCAGACCAGAAGAGTCAGGGGCAGCCAGGGGCCCACGTGGCAAAGCCATGTGGACAAGACACCCCTCTCCACCAGAAAATTCTCCCCACAAAACCCCATGGCTAGAATGGGAGTGAACTTTTTTTTTTAACTCAAATGGCTTTTTCCCATGTTTTTAGACAGAATATTCTTATGTGAAATGTTACAGGTGCCCCCAATACATAGTGAGACAGATGACATTGCAGGTGACTGAGTTGTACTGTGCGCGGGAGGCGGGTGGGGGGCACCCGGAGCTTTGTGCATGATGACCTGGAGAGTGTTCAGGGGCCCCCAGATGCCCAGGGTGCCCTGTTGTACAGCAGCCGAGTTCCTGTGACCCCACGTTACTGCTTGAGTTACTCTTTCTTGCACACCTAACAGCGGCCAGTATTTGAGAGGCAGGATGACCAGACTCCCTTCTACCTACTTCTGAAAGAAACTTGTACTTTGATCCATGCAGCAATCACACCTTTTAGGCAAAAACACCATCAGAGATGGGGAAGTCCCTACCAGTGAAGCTATCGCTCTCTGTATTTTGATCAGGTTCTGATTGTGCGGACTTGAGGAAGTCACATTTCTGAATCTTAGTTTGTCATATCTGCAAAATAGTAATGATAATGCTGACTACATCAGGTTACTGAGAGAATGAAATGACGTAGTCAAGTTCAAGTTCTTAAGCTCTTAGTATCTTCTCTGGCCCACGATGAATACCCAGCAGAAGTTAGCCATCGCTATTATTATGTTAATATTGAGATGATCCTGTTAGGGAACTGAATCCGCATTCCTGAATGTTCCCCAATCTTGGCCGAGTCCCCAGGAGCCATCCAGAATGAGTAGACCGAGCCCCACGGCTTCACAGAGAAACACAGGGGCCTCTGCTCGACGGCCCTCACTCTGACACACAGCTCAGAGGCTGACTTGGGTCCCCACCCTTCTTGCTGCCTGTCTCCATCTTTTGTAGAGCGCGGCCCCCACCTGGGCCTGCGCTGGGTCTCTGTCTTCCCAGGAACCTCCTCTTCCCCCTGGGTCTCCGCCCCTCTGCCAGCACCCCGGGAGCAGGGAACGTGCTCAGGTCCACGGACACCCCCCTCCACTGCTCGTCCTCCTCTCCACTCTGCGAGACAAGAAATTGGAACTGCCACGGACTCTGCTTTTCCCACGTCCCATTAATTCCTCACCACGTGTCCTCTGGACCTCCCCTCGCAAGAACAGCCGCCTCCCCGTTGTTAAACTGAAGGGAGGATTTTCAGCTCTTATTTCACTGAATCCTCCAGCAATGTGAAAATATCGAGGTCTTTCCTGTTTGCCCGAAAAGCTCCTCTCCAGAATTCCTTGACACCAAATGCCCAGGTTTTCACCTTGGCCTGTGCTCAGGCTGCTGTAACAAAATACAGGAGGGGGGAGGGGCCGACACACAGGAGGCTTACCTTCTCCCAGCCCCAGAGGCCAGTGGTGGAGATCCAGGCGACAGGAGGGTGGTCCTCTTCTGGGGCCCCTGCCCTCAGCTTGCAGACCTCCGTCTTCTCCCGTGTCCTCACAAGGTCATTCTCTGTGGGTGCTTCTCACATGTCTCTCTGTGTGTCCAAATTTCCTTTTAGAATAAGACACACGTCAGACTGGATTAGGGCACACCTAATGGGCCTCATTTTAACTTAGTTACTGCATTAAAGGACCTACTTCTGAATACAGTCACATCCTCAGACATTGGGGCTTAGGGCTTCAGCACATGAACTTCGGGGGACCTTTAGCATTTTTTGTGAACCTCTGCCCCCTGCCTGCTGGCTCCCAGGGCCCCACACTGGACTCCTGCCCCAGGCAGCTCCATCCCTGTCCACGAGGTCCATCACCATGTGCTCAAGCACACGCTGGACACAGCTCAGCTCATGGCCATCAACTCCACACTGTCAACACCAGCATGAACGTCTCTCAGTTTGTGTCTGCTCCTTGTCCTCGACTCCGCATCTCAGAGAATTCGTTATGTGTCGCCCATCTACCCATCCGATAAATACTTACAGCGCACTGTGTCTGAACTATCTTTACATTCCCAGAGCTTACGGTAGAATGACAATGTCGGGCTTTAATTACATAGCTCACGAACCAGTGGAGAATTTCATAAGCAGTAAGCATCAATACAGACAGATGTACAGACACATGGGAGCATGAGCCAGGGAGGTATGGCCGGTTTACAATGCCTATGGAAGGTTCTAGTATTAGGATTAGTTTCAGTGCATTTAGTATGGTTTCATGATCCAGTGTTCACCTGAGGAAGGGACCTTGAGGGAAGATGAGGACTTAAATGGGCCCAGAGGGGAGAGGACAGGAGACACCCACGAGGAGCCT